CAGCTATTGCCTTAGAGATGCTAGTTTGCGGCTACAAGTGGGTCTGCTCAAAGCAATTGCAGCATTTTTATGACTACATTACATCAAAAGAACTACATGAGCGTGGTTGAGCGAACATTTGCTCTTGAAGCGTTCCCGGTTACTTTTTTTAGCTTAAGTATCTCTAGCATTGATTTTCGAGTTTCAGGATTTCTTCGTGCAAGGCGCAACTTTATCTCCAAGAAAGAAAAAGAACTAAAAATAATAATAGTAAATGTGACTTTTTGAATCTCAACAAGGATTAAGCAGTTCTGGATTTTAGATCCAGAGTTATGGGTACTCCCACCCAAAGCTACTCCAATACTTAATAGAAGGTCGGAACTCGAAAATTAATATCATACAAAAGTACCCGCAGAAAAAAAAATCACGTGTTCCAAACCGAATCCATATTGTGCTTAAAACGGGTGTAAAACTTGAAGATGTTCCTCCCTTTTCCACGATTTCGGCCTATGGCCGCTACAGGCATCCGCTGAGGCGCGAAACTTGGGTGGCCCGACAGTTCTATAGAGGATTTATAATGTGAGCATTAAAAATATTTAGTACTAGATCAGAATTCAACCAAAAATTGAGTGGTAGAATGTGAAGGTGTCCCTATTTAGTTCCCATTTACAACCATGGTGAGCAAGCGACAACAGTAACAGCAGCAGATTCTAATCCATCGTACGAATGAAGTTTCGATAGGACAGTTGATGAAGGCGACGTGATCAAGCCGCTTCCATAGATTTGATAAGCGCATAGACAACATACTTGCAAATTGTGCTAACAATTGATGGTTGAACTCTGTGGAATACACAACCGAAACAAATGTTGCAAGTATAATTTGCACGCATTTTTCATCCAGTACTGTGCTATCTTTTTTTTTCATATAAGGCAGGTCGTATCATAAACCACGGCAAACATGTAACTTAAAACGCGTGAATAGTTTTCTTTTGAAACATAGATAAGTCAGATCAATCATCAAAACAGACTTTTTACATAACCTTGTATCCTCATTTTACGATGTTACGACTTCGGTATTGCCCAAAGCTCTTGCAAAAATTTGAAAGTGAATCAGCTCAAATAGTATATATTATTGGCAACTTTGCTCCGAGGAAGACGCGAGGTGTATCAAGCGAGTAAATGCATATCCAACGACCGAGCGAAATTAAATATATTCAAGAACTGGCGTTGCAGTCTACAAAAACAAACTCGTAGCGGCTACTGTGGCTGCAGATTAACTCCAGGCGTGACCACCGCAGCAAATGTCGTTGGGTATTCGGCTGCAGCATGTTCGCTCAAGATCGCGTGCTCTCGAATCGCTGCTGCCAGCACTTCACGACGTGTCAACCCTCCGCGTTGAGCTTCAGTCTCTCGCAACTGTCGTTCCACGATAGCGCAGTAGAGCAAGTCCTCGTCGATCGGTGCTCCAGCTAAAACTGGCGGCGCAGTGGTATGCAACAAGCGTTGTCGAGCAACTGGGTCGGCCACTGGATTCAGAGATGGATACGTCTTCGCATACATTTTGGGGTTGAGCTGCTTGAAGAAAGATGGCGAGTGAAAGTTGGCTGGATGCCGTTAAGTTGGGACGCTACACATCAGCCACCCACGAATCCGAGACAAGTCTATGGGCGGTTAAAAGAAATAAGTTTGATTAGATTGAGAAATATCTACGAAGGCGACGTTGTTACTTGCGTCCATTATGCTAGCTTGTATCCGTCGTTGGTCCGAGAACTGCAGCAATCGGGAGTGGGTACTCAGCTGCAGCATGTTCGACAAGGATGGCATGTTCTCGGATAACTGCGGCGAGAACTTCTTGACGTGTCAACGTTCCCCGTTGAGCTTCGACTTCTCGCAGTTGACGTTCCATTATCGCGCTGAAGAGGAGGTCGTAATCGAGTGGTGTTCCTTCGAGAATCGGAGGAGCACAAGCGTGCATTAATCGCTGTCGCGCTTCAGGATCGATCACAGGTTGCAAGGCACGATACGTTCTGGAGTATGCAAGCATCGATATCTTCCGTTTGAATATCTTCCAGATTACAGTTTAGCTGAACTAGGCAAATACGCGAATGAGAATCTACAGGAGTAGAGCGTGTCGTCAGCCATCTTAATATCTTGGCTGACACTTGACAATGGGTGACAGTTCGTTAAGAAAAAATATTCCTTAAGTATTTGTGGAAAGGTGTTTTTGTAGTATATTTTTACTGGGTACTTCATCGCTACTGTCTTTCATTCTGCTTCCTCGATGCCGATGCGAGGAGCTCAACACATAAAATCAAAATCAAAATAGATGCCACTTGTCAAAGCTGCAGTGTCATCTTCCCTTGAGCTCTCGCAGATGAAAAACTACTTTTTTTGTACTGACCTTGTCCATAGCTAAAGAGTGCGTACAATAATGCTTACACGACCCCACCACTGGGTTGTCGACCCAACAAAGAGTGGTTCTTGCGCTGTTCGCTATAGCTGGGGTACACTGCGTCGCTCTCGTTGCTGTTCGTCCGACTGAGGTTGTTCGCGGACGGCGCTGTTAGTGGCACATTACTGACTTGTTGCTGATATCCCATGGGCTTCGGAGCCGCGTTTTGATTGCCGTACACATTTGCGTA